AAAAAGTGGAACAATTGGTCCAAACACTTGAAACCCAGCTCATGCTGAAAATATCAACTTTGGAAAAAAAGGTGATCATTTTTTTTCTAGTTGTCGGAGTTACAGTCAATTAAGTGCCTTTCTTTAACACAATTGTTTCATTAATTGCTAGTAATTTATATAAAATTTTATTAATTTATAGTATGAACAAGATATTAAAGAACTTAAATTAAAGGTAAGTTGCCACAAGATTCAATATATATGACATACAAAATACATCTAGTCATGATACTGGATACCTGGTGAAGTAGTACATTGAACCAGTCTTTACATATAGGTCTGGATCAAAATTAATTCAATCCTAATGGAATGGATCAAAATTAATTCACCTAAGTTTAAGTATAGTGATTAAATTGTTCAATCTTATTGAGATGTCCTCTATTTCGGACTGGACTAGATTTCAAATCCTCACATTTTGATCCACTCTGTACGAGGCAATCAAATTGTGCGGACTTGCATGAAATCTAGTCCTGAGTCTGGGGCCTCTACAGTTGAATTTGAAATATTACATAATTTTATCAAATTGAATGATTTTTTCTGTTGTTTCCATAGCTGGTGGAGTTTATTCATACCAAACATTCCTAATAATTTTTTCACACTTATAATTGCAGGCTATCATAAATACCACCATTAATGCAGTGCACAATAATGTTTATAATAGTGATCGAGACCACCCTATAATTAGAGTATACACTAATTGTTACAGTCAAAACGGAAATACCTGGCTGTGCACACTTCCGCTTGTGTAGTTCGTTGTGTAATACTGTATTTCTGTAGCTGCTAGCTGAAAAATGTTTGTTCAAAAATCGTGCATTTAAAGCTATAACTATAAATAACTGTTGTGGATTAGCCAACGCATATTCCATCCAAAATAATGCTAACAAACAAAGATAAGTCAAGAATAAGCGGCTTCTTTCGGTGAATTTTTCCGAGCTTCTGTGGAAATGTCAGTATTACACAACAATTTAACTACAGTAACTGAAGTGTGCAGGTATTTCCGTTTTGGCTGTAATTGTTTCGATCATGCAGAATGATGTATATAATATAATGTTTTTTAATTTTCTGTTTTGTATACAGCTTCAACGAAGTGAAAATCGTTTGCAGCTACTAGAGGAGAAAGAAAAAGAATTGTGTGAGAAAGAAAGAAAGACTGCTGTATGTTGTACTTCAATTTTTTGCAATGTTATTTTCTGTTGTGATGAACAGGAGCTTACAGCAGAATTTTATCCAATATCACAATTGTATGCTAAATTTAGCTTTTATTAGTAGTTAGCTTAATATATTGTGATTAATTGGTGATTAATCGGTTGTCGACACAACTTAATTCTTTGGAGTTACACTTATTTTGTATTTTGCTATAAAAAACAGAGTAAAAGCATATATTAATAGCAGCAATAGGATTCTATATTCTGTAGAACATCCTATACGAATTCCTATAGGAATTTCCTATAGGAGTTTTCTATAGGAATTTCCTATAGGAAATCTATTCCAATAGGATCCTATAGGAATTCCTATAGGAAATTCCTATAGGAATTCTATTCCTATAGGATCCTATAGGAATTCCTATAGGAAATTCCTATAGGAATTCCTATAGGAAATGGCATTTCCTATAGGAATTCCTATAGGATCCTATAGGATTTAATCTGTTTTGAATATAAAACGAACTGATGGACTCATGGATAATAAAATGAATGGATAGGAACTAGCTGACGTGTCCTAATGTTTTCAATGGGCTGATGGCGTGGTTGGATGTTGAAACCTTGTTGCAAACCAAATTCTCAAAAACGGCGCATGTTTAGCAATAATACGCCATTCTACGATGAAATCTCTAAGTATTACCAGTCAATTTTAGCAAATATTTCAAGCACTAAACAGTGAAAAATGCATCGCAAATTTCGTTAAAATTGGCGACGCCAATTTCATAGCTACAAATGTAAAAAAAATACAAAACAAAGACGAAAAACATTTACCTTGAATACTTTGTCGTGGCTTAGGCATGTTTTTAAAACAATTAGACCAGTTTATGCTTCAATAATACTCTTTTAAAGCGGAAAATATAGCGAAAAACAAAAATGCTGAGAACTTTGGCAATACGCGTGACGTCACAGATTTCAACTAGGTTTAGACTGACGTCAGGAAGTTTCCTATATCCAGTTATTTTACAATCCATGTAAATACAAATCACATAATATCTTTGTATTGTGTATAGGCAAAAGAAGGATATGAACGACTTGAAATTCCCCGAGTATACCATCCATTTATCCAAGGACGCAATCAGGAGACAATACAGAAAATTGCCATGGAAACAAACACGAAGATCAATATTCCACCTCCATTGGTACCAAAGGATGAAATTACAATTTCTGGTGACAAGGAAGGTGTGGCTTTGGCAAAGGACAAAATCCTTAGGATCTATAAGGAAAAGGTAGATATGTCCAATTATTGAGGGTGTCCACATTGCATGGGCAAGCTGAAAAATTTGCTTGACTGCATGACAAGTTTGGTAGAGCATTGGACTATAGCAAACCAAAAGTCGCAGGTCTGATTCCCACTGCGGTCAAGCAAACTTTTCAGCTTGCTCGGTGTGGACATTAAGAGAATAAGAGTTGCCATTGCAAACGTATAAAGATTAAAAACATGCTGATGTTCTGCGCAAAAGCCAGCACATGTGCATGTGAAGTTAATAGACTTAAGTATAGTTTGGGGCATTTAGGTGATGGCCACTTGTCACAAGTAATGCATTGTTCCTCATTACTAACCTCCAGGCATTTAATGCTTTACTTATAAGTTTGAAGTGTTTTTAACCCATTAATTAAGCTGAATGTCACTATGACGCGCAAGTCAAGGAGATAGCGCTGCATGATTACCTGTGTTTTTTCAGGAGCGACATGTGACCACTGTCATTGAGGAAAAGAAATCCCAACACAAATATGTTACTGGACCCAAAGGACATGCATTACAAGAGATCTTTGCATCCACAGGTGGGTAGGAAATGAAAAACACTTGAAGCAAGTCTAATAGTTTCTTTTTGATTTCCATCACATTAAATATAGTTCATGTTTTTGGTCTGGTGAAAACACCAGGTTTTAGCAGATTCAACTGTTTGTTTCTAGGAGCATCTGGTGAAATGCCACATTTGGACTCGGACACGGAAGCTATCACTTTACGAGGAGAACCAAATAGACTCGGTACAGGCTTGACCCAGGCTTATGAGAGAGCTAACAGGGTGGGCGTTTATAATAATTGTAAATATTAAAATGCTATTAATTGTGTAGATTTCAGAATAATATATGGGATGCTGTGCAGTTAAAAACATTTCTGCTGTAAGCATTTTTTAACCGCATGGCGGCCTTTTAGACCCTTAAAAGTTTATTATAAATACCATGTTTGAACAAAAGTATAGATCCTTGATTGTGTAATGAAAGACCAAGAGCATGCATCCCAATCTTTAATAGTTATAACAGCGAAAGTGCGCCTGCCTTCGGTCTTCTATTTTGTGTCTACCATTTGTTCGCCAATACTGCTTACTGATTTAACCTGCCAATCAAGTACCACTGGTCATATCTTCCGCTAACTAATGAGTTCATGTTTACTGTAGCGAGCAAATACTGAGGGAATCTCGTTGGCTCCCAGTTTTGGACAATTGGGTCGTGGTATTTCAGCTGGATTGAGTAATTCTTCACAAAAACAGGATCAACCTATGGGGAACAGATATTCGGCATTAAGTGGTGCAGATATGCCGCCCAGCCAAACGTACGATGCCAGAAGATCTTTATCAGCTTGTGCAAGGTAAGCAACTGAATCTATATTGTAGAAGTTTTTGTTGTACTTGCAAAGGATAGAAACTATAGTTAAAACAATGGACAAAACCGCCGATCGAAGGTAGAGCGGTGATCAAAGTGTTTATGGGACGAAATTTCGCACTTTTTGTTTATGATTGCATTGCCATTGTAAAGACAATCCAATAGTCTGATACTTTGCCAAATTATTTTAGCTTGTTTATTTCTTGAGATTTTAAACAATATTTGATACCCAAATCATCTAGCTAGGACGTGAAATTGCATAATCAATATGGTTTCTGAAAACACTAATATATAAACTCTTAAAGACAATTTATTCAATTTTGTCAACACATGACATATATTTGTAGTACGCTGACATAGCACTTTCTCACGGTTTTGTGATTTTGATGCACGATATTCCAAGATCTTGAAGTTTTTTCAGAAAGTTATAATTATGACAGCTTACACCTAAACCGAAACGACATTCGAGACCCGATGAAAGACATTAGCTAGAGATGATTTTTCCCTCACAGTACAGGAAACTGTCGATCTGGTAGCACAACTCCGTTGAGCAATTCAACCGCTCAGACAGAGTCTTCAACCATCCAGTGCAAGAGTCGTCCATACAATACACACTTACAGGTAAATCAAAGCTCACCATTGTTGCAAGAAATGACAGAGAATTTGAAAATGTTCATGGATAGTCAGAAAGAAACTCAGAAGGAGCCGGAAGTTCTGCTTTTACGGGCTGATAGAGAAGCGACGACAGAAAATAGGGCAAGCGAAATCAAGGAAATTTCAGATAGAATACCAGAAAATATTGAGAATATGGTTGAAAGAAAAACAGGTAATGAAAATACGGTTGATCCTGATCCAGTGGAACAGTTAAAGAGTGACAATATGGATAGTGGCTTGGATAATTCCCCAAATCGTGTTGTGGATACGAAGTCGTTGGATAGTTATGTCGCACACGCTGTTAATTCTGAGATAACTGAAAAGAAAGTTGAATGGCTAACAGATACAAAAAAGGCCCTTGGTAAGTAAACATTTCTTCTTATGCACGTGCAACTGTGGTTGGATTATAATCAGACAATTGTATATTGCAAGAATCAACACCCCTTCGCCGAGTTAAAAAGGTGATGGTATATAGGTCAGGGCTCGAATTTTATGGCGGCAATTGCCGTAGAAGGTGAACAAATGCCGTGGATTATTGCGGCAACGACGGCAATTTTTTGCCGTATAGTGTAATTTTTAGATTATTCACTGTGAATTACTATTTTGATACTTGAATTGAGATGTTGATCAAATCATGCGTAAATTACTAGTTTAGTCTCAGTTTTCTTGTCAACAATCCATGCAAAGTAACAATTAACTTAAATTTTTATTAATTTGAAAAAATGCCGTGGAAACTGCCAAAATTGCCGTAGACAGCTGTTACGTTCTACGGCAATTTTTAACTCCATTGCCGTCGATTGATTTCAGGGAAATTCGAGCCCTGATATAGGTGTATTGTGCCAGAATCCACTTCATATAGTAATATTCCAGGTTATTTTTTGCAGAACCTCCCAAAAAGAAATCATCAAAACAAAGAATCAAGGATATAAATAAAAAAGAGACTGGGGCAGACTTAATGGATGCTTATACAGATAAACCTCCACCACAAGAGGTAAATGAACATGATAATTGATCTATTTCTATGAATATATCATTGACAGATTGGTGAATTGATAAAATAAATTACTTATAAGTTGATTAGTTGATTGAATACTTGGTTGTTTGTGATTTGGTAAATTAGTTGGCTGATTAATGTTATTGAGTAATTGTATGTTGTTCTATTGATGCAATAATGAATTGGTTGATTAATTGGTTGATGAATTAATTATTAGTCTAATGATTGATAATGTATTTATGAATTAGCTGATTGTTTCATTGGTACTGTTAATTAGGTTTGTTAGGATTGTTAATTGATGATTTTCCTGATTTATTCATTGACTAGTTTGTTGATACGTTGATTAATGGCTTAGCTAATTAATTGATCATTCTGTTGGTTAATCAATCGATTGATTTCTTTGTTGGTTAGCTGGTCTATTAATAAATTGATTATTTCGGTAGTCGACTGATTAGTTTGTTGATTTATTGATTAATTTATTGATTGTTGAAACTATTGATTGAGTGTTTGATTACCTGGTGACTTCGTTGACTAATTAATTGGTTAATCTATTGTTTGATTGATTTTTTGTTTGTGTAATTCGTTATCAGTTAGTTGATT